CATTGTGATGGGTTTCCACATGTGTCCAACACATGGCTGACAAAAAACAAGAAAACAAAAAACAGCTTTCAAATTAAGACTAAATTTAATTTCTGCAATTATTGCATTGGAGGCGATTCAACTCACAACATGATGAATAGTACAGTTCATTGAATGCATAAATTTGCAAAATTTTAAGACAAAATGGTCTTACAAGAGAGGCTGGAATTTCAGGTCCCATGTGTGTAAATATATTATAGCTTATTAATTTGACAGAAGGGGTCATAAATCTAGTTAACATGAAAAAGTTATATACCCTCTGACTGGTTAGCCTGGTTTTAAATGTAATACTTTGGCAGTCTAATATGATGTCTTTTAGTTTCCATTGTAGAATTTCACCACAGTCATAACCTGCTATTTATCGTTGCCAAATTAAAGTGTCAATGGATGAGAAACAGAACCTGCAGCGAGAAAATGAATGTACTTTATGTAAAGGAATGGGCAAATTTCACAGCAAATTAACGTTTTACAGGGTAAAATAGCTACACCCAGTTTTTGGTGCCAAAAGTTTCCTTTCTGTTGAAAAATTATTGAATTGGAGGAGATTTAACACACAACTTGATGAATAGCGCAGTTCGTTGGATGCATAAATTTGGCAATAAAATGCAAGATACTGATTTCCAAAATTTAAAAGCATTTCTGAATTTAAGTCAATTTCACTCACAAATACAGTCACTACACTTAACGTATGGTAAATCCTGTGAAGTGATTTGAGACATCTTGATGATGTGAGGTATAGCAAATGCAAGGTTTTTTTTATTATTTATGTAGAAATATTCAGGGTTTTTTTTAAACTGAATAACAATACCAGAGAACCAACCAGAATATGGTTTCTGCAAAACCTTTCACTTCAGGCAGTGCTCATATTGTACTGTATTGTACTGTACTATATTTACATGTTAGTCGGACAGGACTCACAAGCTTCATTCAAAGGCAGCAGGTCCAATATCCTCATATAATGTGGGTAATATCCTCATATGATTATTATCATAGTGATCAGAAGAGGCACCAAAAAGCAACTGAGTGGGAGGGTTGATGTCTCGCTATATAAGAGACATTTAATTCTACAGGACCATTTTGATGCTGGAAAATAAAAGCACCTGCTAAACCTTAGCATGCAAACTTTGCTTCATAAATATCCAGAGTCTAAGATTCATAGTAATTTTTGGAGATTGCATGAGACTTTTTATTCAATGTGTGAGAATGATAATTGTAAAGAAATTCCTGCACAAATCTTCCAAAACAAAAGAGGATGCAAAACACCAAGAATAAGACTATAATAGGAAGAGTTTTTTTTTAAAAAAAGATTAGGAGAGCCAATAGACAACAAATCTGTGCAAATGCTATTTCAGAGAGCAAATAGTGAACCTGTGGAACAGGCTCCCTAGGGATACAGTTGAAGCAGGAAGTGTTGATTCTTTCAAACCAGATTAGATAGTTTTCTTTTAGGAAATAACATTATGGGGTATATATATGGTACACAGGTAGTTCTGGACACATGTGCATACGACTGCCAGGAAGGTGGAAGGCGAATTAGATGGACCTTGGTCGTTTTTCATCTAGCGTTTCTTATGTTTTTATGTAGAACTGGAAAGGGATTTATCTGCAGATCCAAAACACAATGTGGAATCAGAAGAGGTAGTTAAGATATTAATGTGAAGGTGTGACAGCAAATTGCACCTGAGCTTATCACTGGCCAATGAAGTTCAACGCAAAATCAATGTACTGCATCTAGAAAGTAAACATAGGAGATATATGTACTCCGTGGATAGGGCGGAACTTGCCAAAGAGAAAGTTAAGAGACCTTAAGGTATCAGCAGCTCCTCACTAAACTCCAAGCCCCTCCCTACACATCATTCCCTCACTCCCCACCTTTAAAACACATCTTAAGAAATTTCTTTTCAAGGGTGCTTTTAGCCATCTTTCCTCCAGATCTGCCTTAGCTCCCCCAGCCCCAGTTCAGGCTCTATGAAACGTTCTGAGACATCCTTCTGCCATGAAGGCTCTAAATAAATATAAAGTTATTGCTGTTGTATTAGTTAACTCATTTCTCATCAGATCCAAACGATATTAGTTGGCAACAAAAACAATTTGCCCTTCATGTAGAATAACGTCTCAGAGCGCTTAACAAATAGGGGGTCGGACTCCAAGCAAGGGAGGAGACGAGAGGGAAGGTGACTGTGAGCACAGTCGGAGAAGTGGGTTTTTGGATAGATATTAGATATTAAGACAGACATATGGACAGGACGGGCCAGACAGACAGGCAGTGAGACAGAGGAGTAGAGAGAGGAAGTTCCAGAGATTAGGGCCATAGTTGTCAATGACTTGGCTACCGGTGGTGGCCCGGAACTAAACAAAGCAAACAGGATGTTGGAATACATTGCCAAATAGTTGGGATTGGATTCTCAGCAGTCGAGAACTCAAGCTATTTAGTGTTCTGCTCAACCCACACTTGGATTACAAGTTAATGAGCAATTGTATGCAGTTCTGGTCATTGTGCTGGAATGAAGGAAGGTGTTTTTACAGCCCTTTAAATGTAGGTACTCAGGTGTTTTCTTGCCCCAGTTGAGATACCTTGATTACTGTAGTGTTGACATTTCCAAGTGGCCAAGCAAATGTTGGATATTCTGATGCTTAATAGTAAGAACTTCACCCACATACATGTCTCATGCAACACTGATTCATTGATCTGAATGGACAGTAGTTTTATACATTCACATATATTCTGTTCAATGCGAGTCTGTCTTGTCAAATTGTAACACGATGAACACTCATTTCAAATGGCTAAAGTTTCAATCCTTTGATGACGTTTATCAAACTTTATCAAAGAAGTAACATATTGCGTGTCTTTTTGCCTTTGTATAGTGATTTACATGTAGTGCAAAATTAAATTGCCAACAGGAACTCAACATACAACAACAACAACTCGTATTTGTATAGCGCCCTTCACGCCAGGTAGCTTTCCGGAGCGCTTAACAGTGGGAGATTCTGACCCGGAGCCAGGGGAAGAGGAACGGGTAAGCATGATCAAAAAGGAAGGTGCTTAGGCGGGATTTGAAAGTGGGGAGGGAAGGGACAAGGCGGAGGGATTGGGGGAGAAAGTTCCAGAGCTTCGGGGTGTAGAGACTGAAAGCACGGCTGCTGACAGTGGAGCGGAGAGAGCAAGGGATGAACAGGAACTGGAGCCGGCCGAACGGAGGCAGTGAGTGGTGGAGTGGGGGATGAGCAAGTCGGAAAGGTATGGAGGTGCGAGGGCATGAAGGGATTTCAAAACAAGTTTTGTGCGGGTTAGTATCCGGGTGGCAGAGTTCTGAATTAATTGTATTTTATGTATGGTGGGACTGGGGAGGCCAGCGAGGAGGGCATTTGAAAAGTCCAGCCGGGAAGTGACAAAGGCGTGAACAAGTGTTTTGGCTGCTGTGGGTATGAGCATAACCAGTTATACAGCATTAATAGTAAATGTGTAACTAGCATTTGTCATTTAAATCAAGCAAACAATAAACGATAAATATTCTCTGCAGGATGTGAAAATCCTGATGAGAACCCTAATGATCAATAATAGCCTCCACTATTGGCTGGCAGACGAGCCTTCTGCCACTCTGCCCCCACCCTCTGTAACTCCATCCTGCAGTCCTCCGCTTCGCCCCCTCCCTTGCCTCCTTCAAAACCCTCCTCTTCGACTGTGCCTTCGGTCAACAATAAGTGATTACACAACAAATAAGAAAGCCATGACAAATACATACTAAAAAAATGCAAAGAGGAAGAATCTGAAAAAAAATCAGCAACAACTACTTTCATCTATATAGCCCCCTTCACAGAAAGCAACGTTTCAGATCCATTGACAGGAAGGGTGCCATACACCAACCTGCACCTAATACTTTCTGGAATTAGATAAGCAGAATGCGTCCCTCCAGGAAGAGAGTGCGCATTCCATTCCAACAACCTATCCCTGGAATTTCCATGCGTATGTGGGTTGCACGGAAATCTCAGCTTGGTTTGCATACTCTTAAGCATGGCGATGGGGTGATTATTGAACCCATCACCGCGCTTAAGAATATACATACGAAACCGAGAACTCCATGCATCCCACCTGGAGACCTGGAAATGTGGGCAGGTGTCAAAACACCTGGCTGTCCCCCCAAAAAATATCAAATGCAGGGCTTATTATTATTATTGCCACTCTCACTAGCCCAGTGACGCATGTCACCATTGCATTTTTCCACTGTTGTCACTCTTCCCAGTGGCATTGATCATTATTCCCACTCTCTCCTGTCCACTATTGCACTTTCATGTGCCTATTATTACCCTCTGATTTGTTTACTGTTGCAGCTTTCACCTGCCCAGTGAACCAAGGCACTGTTGCTACTCTCACCTGCCCAGTGCTGCCGGTGACTGTTGCTGCTTTCTCCTGCTGCCCAATTGCTATCCTCAACTGCCCGGGGCTGCTGATGACTATTGCCCCTGTCCGGTGACTACTGCCGCTCTCACTTGCCCAACAACAGCGACAACAACAAAATGACATTTGTGTTGCGCCTTTCATGTTGGGAGAACAACTCAAGGCGCTGGGCGGTCAGTTTCGGACCCGAGCTGGCGGTCGGGATCAGGGAGGGGTGGAGGGCGGGGGGGGGGGGGGGGAAAGGAGGTGGACCAAAGGCACGGTCGAAGAGGAGGGTCTCGAGACGGGTCTTGACGGGGTGCAGGGCAGGGGGCGAGGCTGAGGGACTGCGGCGATGGGAGTCCCAGAGGTTGGGCGCCCAGTGAGGAGGTCACGATTGCCCTTCCCTGTCTGGTGGCTACTGCTACTCTCACCAGCCCAGTGATGCCAGTCACTGGTGCCCCTGCCTGTCCCTTATCGCCACACTCCCTGCCTGCCTGCCTGCCTGTTGCTGGGTCTCCCTTGCCCAGTGATGCCAGTCACTATTGCCCCAGCCTGCCAGCCTGGTGACTATTGCCGCTCTCACCTGGCCAGTGATGCCGGTAACTATTGCCACTTTGCGGCTCGCGGTCTCACTCATTGCTGCTGCTGCTGCTCCGGGTTCTCACGCCGGCGCCTCGCTTCCTGGTTGTGACGTAGACGCGCTCCAGGCCCCGCCCCCTGCGGGCGCGCGCGCACGCACGCGCGCGCGCGCCGCTGGACAGCGCCAAAGAGCGCGCGTGCGCTAACCAGCCACCACCACCACTCCCCCCCCCCCAACCCCCAGACCTGACGCCCCGCGCAGTCCAGGCAACGCTCGGCAGCGCCCCGCACAGCGACAGCTGCAGGCCTGGAGGCGCAGTTGCAGCTATTGCAGTATCTCTTGGTTGTGTTCGCAGGTGGTGGTGCACTTACCCTTCTTGTTCATGTCTTTTCGACCGCGCCTTTGGTCTCCTTCCCCCCTCCCCCCCCCACCTCCCCTCACCCCTCCCCTCCCCCCCCCTCCCCTCCCCCCTCCTCCCCTCCCATCCCCCCTCCCCTCCCCCCCCCCCCCCCCTCACCCCTCCCCTCCCCCCCGAAAAGACGAAATGTCAGTCACTGTGTGTGTGTGTGTGTGTGTGTCAGTCCTCCCAGCAGGAGACCCTCCCACTGAGTCTTCCCACTGAGTCCTTCCCGAAGGGATATGTGTGCAAATATGTGAACCAGGGAAACAAAAACAGAGAGAGCTGGGAAAACGCAGCGGGTCAGGCAGCATCTTATGTGAACAACCGATACTGACATTACATGAGAATACATTGGAAAACGCAGCACAGAAACGGGCCGTTCGGCCCAACTGGTCTATGCCGGTGTTTATGCTCCACATGAGCCTCCCTCCTGCCCTTCCTCAACTGAACCTGTCAGCGTAACCGTCTATTCCTTTCTCCCTCATGTACCTATCTAGCTTTCCCTTAAGTACATCTATGCTCTAATTTATTAACAACTTCAATTGCACATTTTCTTAATCTTAAGGGATCTATATATATATATGTATGTATATATATAAGACGAGATGCCTAAGAAGCGAAGATCAAGCCTTTCAAGGACAAATAAAAATGCCAGGCGAAAAAGAGAAGGACGATTGAATGAAACTGATTGTAAGCGTAGCTGCAAAGGGGCAGCTACTATAAGCTCCAATGCAGTGCTCCATTGTCCGAGGTAGTGTGTCCTTCAGAGGAGACGTTAAGCCAAGGTCTCGTCTGCTTGTTAGGTGTTATTTGGAAAGAGAGGGGAGTTTCTCTTTGTCTTAGCCATCAATTCCCCAAATAAAATTGGTCACTCACCCCATAGCTGTTTGTGGGACGTTGCTGTGCACAATGGCGCCGTCACTTTCAATTACAAATATCCAGTCATTCATTACACTTTACAGTATATAAAGTGATCAGCTAATCCTCTCATTAGTTCATAAAGCCATTATTTTGCCTTTGGCTTAATCTGTTTCTTCCCCTTTCCATATAGTTAGGTCCATTCCTTCTTCTCACCACAGAATATTTGTTGAATCAAGGAGGTCATTCAGCCCATTGTGTCTGTATTGGTCCTGGTTCTCCAATGTAGCTACTTACACTAATCGTATGCTCTTTCCCCATATTCTACATTTCCACATATTCTTTAACATAATTTTTAAGTAGTTATTCAATTTCTTTTTAAATGCTATTTACTCAGCTTCAGCAGACAGTTGTGATGGAAGAAATCTACAGTCTGTGCAAAAATTCTTCTGAACTCTTAACTTTTATTTCTCTGGAGTAATTCTTGGTTGATGGTCTCATGCTACTGACTCATTCATCAGTGGAAATGGCCTGCCACGCTGAGCATGATTTTTTAGTAATGGAGAGAATTAAAATGATCTGGGTCCATTTTTGGTAGATGCTTCTGGATATCATGCTTAATGTAACAGAAATAAACATCTCCCAATTGTGCATTATTAGAAAATGTTTCATATCAATTGGGAATACTGCAGACTATGCAAATTATTTCCAAACAGTCTGACATTTATAAATACATCCTTGGCAACTTGCACCAGCAATTGAACTTCATTCTTTCTCCATTCCTTTCTTTATTCTCCCATGCAACATCTTTCAGCACCTGCTTACATTCCAGCCTTTCTGATTCAATAAACTCTCTGCATGTCATCAAATCATTAGTCAGCATTTCTCGGCACATATATATGAAGCTGAGCCTTCTCAAAGCTCCCAGGCATTTGTCTGTCGTACCGAGTAAGATTTCAGCTTTATTCATTTTTAAAAATCTTTTTTCATTTGAAAACATATTTCCAATATGTATTACTTCAACCCTGCCAGTCTCTGAACTGTTTTCCCTGACCCCCCCCCCCCCCCCCCCGGTGTGCTTGCAGAAGGGTCTCCAGTGACTGCATAAAGCATCGAGCTTCAGCTTTAGGGCATAAAAAGCACATAAAACTGTAATTAATATTTGTGCCCTTTCAAGGTTCAAAAAGTGTAAGGTATCAAATTGCACAATGTTTCATTCATTCTCAAAATCTGCCATTTCATCCATAAAATACAGTCAATCCACTTTACAGTATATTGTGTGAAACTCTTTGAGATGTCTCGATGACTTCATGAGGCACAATGTCAAAATTGCGTGTATTCAAATATGACTCACAAAGCGTAGCAACAAAAAGAGAGCCTAGAAAATAGTTATCAGACCTTACTACATCAAATGTCTCAAAGCACTTTACAGTATTATTGTTGAGTGTAATGGTTTCTGTAGGTAAAGACAGCAGCCATTTTGTGCACACTGATGAGGTTAATGATTATTTTTCTGGGGGTTCGTGGCCAGGAAACTGGGAGAAACTCCCTTCTCACATCAAAGAGTACCATTGCATCCTTAACATCCACCTGAAGAACAGATATTGGTTGAATGTGTCTTCCAAAGGCAACACCTTTTACAACGCAGTACTCCCCAAGACTGAGCCTGAGGCCCAAACATCAATTTGCATTAATGTAGCACACTTCAAATTGGGTAAATAGGGTAGCTTCTCAGAGTTCGTCACAAGGACAAGGTTAGATGCCAAGCAAGTTAGAGGAGGTGGTCCTAACCACACAAAGCAGTAGGTATTGAGGTTGGATTTAAAGACAGATAGAGAGAGGGTGAGACAGAGGAAGGGAGGGAGATCCAGAAGTTATGTGTATAGAATCTGAAGGATCGGCCACCGAAGATGGCACAGAGAGGGCTGGGAATGCGCAGCAAGCCCGAAATTACCTCTGCGGAGAGGGAAGCGGAGGAGGAGTGTTGGAGAACATCAGAGAGATCAGTGGAGCCTGACAGGACAGGGATGATGGTTACATGGAGTTTGGTGCAAATCAAGATATGGGTGGCAGAGTTTTGGATGAGTTGTAGCTTATGAATGGTGGAGCTAGGGAGACTAGTCAGGAGTGCACTGGAAAAGTTTAAACAGAATGTAACAAAGGCATCAATAAGTGTTTAGGCGGCATCGGGTGTGAGGCATGTTGCTGGGCAATGTGGTGGAAGTGAAGGAAAGAGCTCTTGGTCAGGGGTTAGAGAAGAGGGAAAAAGAAAGGCTGAGGATCGAACTGTACATCAAGGGTATGCACCAGCAAAGTGAAGCTAACACCATTTAACACAACGGTGAGAATTCTACCAACTAAGCCAGGCTGAAATTCACAAAACAGACAGAAGAGAGAGGTACAATTGAGACATAGAAAATACAGACTGATACAAGAGAGCGAAAGATGAAAACAAGAAAATAAAAGGAGGCAGCATATCAAATATGAGAGAGGGAAGAAATCAGAAAACAACACATCACTCTCAGTTTCAATTAAAATACACAAAGACCCTTTCTCCCGCACTTTAAATCCCTTGACCTGACACTGAAGCAATTATACATTCATTGCGGTGAACACTAGAAATGTGTATTGTGCTGATCAGGGCTGGGCTCCAGCTGAATGTTGAGAGCTATAACACCAGGCCACACAGGCTGTCAGAGTAGGAGCACCAACAGGACCAAGCTTCAGAAATTGGAATGGCATGAAATATAGCTGGGCAGAGGTCCAGTCTGCATTCCAGCACACTTGAGGAAACAAAACTACAGCTCAGTAATATTTTGATACCACATTTTCTCGAATGTTTTGTACATGTAATTGACTTGGAAATATTTGTCAAAAATTCCTTTTTAAACATTTGGGCAAGAAACTTTTTTCAGGGGAAGGGGGTAAGTTTTCCAAGGGTGTTCATATGGGTATTTTATTATTTCATTCAATACAAAGGGAGTGTGTGAGGAGCAGGAAGTACGTACCTCGTTGCAAACAGCGTATTTGCTGGATTACCTGCTATCAGTCAGGGAAAGCTGTTGTGGGTAACAGCTTTATGAAACACACAGTATCCTGGGAGCGGATAATCAGCGGTGGTACATTCAAAGAGTTCACCCTTCCTACAAGTTGATTAATTTATTTATCTTAATTTGTATCTAGCATGTTGTATTTGGCATGTACTACATTTTAATATTTCCTTGCAATAAAATCTAAATCACTTTATTATTGCTGCAAGCTGGGCATTTTAAGCCAAGCTGTAAGAACGAAGTGATGTGAAAGGGTAATCAGACAGACTAAAATCTGAAGCTTTGCAGGAATTATTGATATCTCAAGGTATGTGTTTGGCAGCAGTGTGCCATTTTTGTACATTTTAATACATATTATACACAGATATCTGTGTATAATATGTATTATGAACAATAATAATACCACAAAACCCTATCATGGCACCAAGAAAGCCAACAAATTCAATAGAGTCACTAAGCAGGAAATGAGCTGGGTTCAGTAGTAAGCTACGTTATGTTTATCTTGAATGACCTGTGACCTGGGAACTTTCATGCATAGTTAAAACTTCAATTTTAGCTTATGAGACTGCCCAGCTCTACATACTATTACACAGATAGTCTTTTGTGAGATTGCAACACCTAAACTCCCAGAATCATGGCCTGTATTAGTCATGGTATTTCATATTGTAACAGGCACAGGGTTGCTGCAGAAGAAACAATCAACGCCAGTCATAGTCAGCCTGGCTCAGTTGGCAGCACTCTGACTCAAAAGGTTGGGGGTTCAGGCTTCACATTATAATTTTGAGCTCATGGTCTCTTAAAACCCAATTTCTAAAGAGCAGGGTGGCC